AGAGAGAGAGAGAGAGAGAGAGAGAGAGAGAGAGAGAGAGAGAGAGAATTCCTATTTTTCCTGTCCTTTCACCCTCACTGCATGACTTAGCTCTGCTCTGGATCACAGAGGACTGGTTTCAAGCTGAATAAAGCAGGGTCATCATGAAAAGAACATGAGACCTCGAAACACTGACACAAATGTTCAGACTGTTTTTTTTATATTCTTTTCTTGCTCTTGACTTTCATTAAGATTCAAATGATTGAGACTTTCATTACTCTGATCCTGGCTCAGTTGCCTCCTGCTCAGTTGCCTCCTACATATTGAATGATCAGGAGGACAGGTGAACAGGATCATTTGCATTTCAGTCTAGGGAGGTTTGGTGGGAGCAGCAGAGTGTCTCTTTAAAACAGGTGGTCAATGGAAAATGCAGGTATGAGTTACACATGCTGAGGAAGAACAGGGTTGCGCAGATGCCTGGCAGACACTGACTACCAGAGTCCGGCTGGCGCCACCGCCTCCAACTGGGTCAAACAAGATGAGCCTGCTACCTCTTCCACACTCAGAGGTGCCTCTTGCCGTATTTACCCTTAACCCACCTCTCCTCAACAAATAGCATTACATCACTAACCCCATTTCAGACCAACAGCAAAGCACAGTGCACGGCCACACATTTCACCACTGTTTACTGTCACTTGAATCCGCACCTGCCCGACATCTACGTCACACTGTTTAGGGATTAAAAGAAACCATGAAAATGAGAGATTTTCACAGTATTTGTTGTGGATTTGTACGTGCATAATTTGGCTCATAATGACAGGCGGTAACAGCTGCTGGAGTATGCAGTGCACTCTGATGAGAGCTGTGATGATGAAACCAGGGTGGCCTGATTTATTAGTACACATGCGCCTGCAGACGAGTCACAGGAAGTATTTCCATATGGATTTTCTGGGGACTTGACATCAGAGGCATGGGGGTCTCGCTCTCTAAAAAAAACACACCAGGCCCATCTTTTGCAAGTGGGCGGAGGGTCTAAAATAAAATCAGCTGCCACTGTCTGCTAGTTGGACAGAGGTGAACACAGTACTGGAGCTGGTCTCCAACACTGACCGGGATTTGCTTTTGGCTTGGAACGACCCTGCAGGTTGGGGGTGCAGTGGCCTTCAAGTGGGATTTTTATATGCTGAGCTCATATTTTTACATTTCAATATCCTCCTTACCTGGTAGGTGATGAGATCTCTGAGAGCTGTGTTTGAGTTGAGTAGAATGTTAAAAAAAAGTGTGAATGATTTGGGCTTTTCAAATGATGTTTTTATGTTAATAATTTCCCATGCGAAAACAGTAATGCATTTTTAAATCACCCTTTAGTATCTGCAGAGAAAAACATGAAAGGCTGGCACTGAATTCTTGATTCTACTCCAAAATCAATTAACATTGTCCTCGTGTTGAGTGCACTTCCATTCAAAATACAGGATACAGAAGCAAAATATGAATCTTATATCAGGCATAAAATACCAAATTAACTTCGGAGTTTAAGCTTTAGAAGAGATTCGATTTGTACTAAGTAATTCCCAAATAAATGGAGTTCTGAGCCAATTGTACCAAGGCCAGTACCTAGTTGTTATGTCACTCTACTTCATTGTCTCCGAGCAAGCCACGAAATGACAAATACTGCAGAGTAATTACAAAAAAAAAAGCACAAAATTATCAAATCAGAAAATCTAAAAGCTTTTAGAAAGGAAAGCTTTGACCTCCCAGCTTTCCTCTATATTTCACTGAGAAACACGAGCCTTCATGGTTAAGTTTAAAATAGGCTTGATTTATTTAAGTACATGGCGCCTATTACTTCACTTTCTTGTTATTTGAGCTCTCAGCCCAACCTAACGTGTCATGAGATAGCTTCAGACTGTTGACAGATTTTCTTTGGCAACAAATTTCAGTTCCTACCACAATAATTTACGGTCTATAAGTCCATCTCCTCAAGACCGTAACTTTGATATGCTGCAGTGCAGAATTTTCCACTCGAGTTTCACTGCAAGTCAATATTTGAAGTAGAATATGTAACTAGAATTCTTTAATTTTAAGAGCTGTGTATTACAAACATACTTACCATTCCTGGCTAAAATAGACTGTAGGGGACTGGTAAGCTACAAATCCAAATATGCCAAGGGAAAGCAGCTAACAACAGTGCAATATACTAATATGTGTATATATTACTTTTACATGACTTTTTGCCATGCAATTTAGAGAGTAGCATTAATGGGTATCAATTTCAGGTTTCATTATTCAGCTTACTTAACAATAAAATAGCTTATCACCTCCAGCTGTCTGTAGCTCAAAGAACTGATTAAAAAATTGATTTGGTGTTTTTTTGAGTCTGTACTTTATTCAATTTTCACTACTTTGAAAAATGATATTCAGCGATTAAATCTGTCATTTGCTGCCAGAATTGATATTAAAGATGTCCCCTGTCTGGCAGCTCTGCTGACATTATTCTTGATATTACAGTGAGTTTAATATATACGCATGGCTTCAAGTGCTAATACGCCACAGAGCAGATCATTTGTTCACATTTCATTCTCTTATTTGCATCAGCATAATTAAATCCACAAATGAATTGAGGTATGAATACTTTGAACTGGCAAACATATAGACAAAAGTGTCATCAACTGGCCTGATGGAGATAACACAGTTGGAATAGTTAACAATCTTTTCAGCAGATTGCAATACCCTGCAGGTTAACAATAATGGTCCTTTGATTCCAGACTGTCGGCTGATGCAATTCCAGACATAACTTGTAATGGCTACTTATGCGTAAAATAAAAAGGAAAGATCGGAATGACTGCTAATACAACTTCCCATACGATCCTCTAAACCCCACAATACATTAATATGCTGAGTACAATCAATCCCTTTATTGACAAAATATGAGTGGAAACAGGGACTTTATGTAAATCATCTTAAGTGACCCTTTTAAGGGGACATCAAACCATGGGGTACACTGTTAGAGAAGAATTATTTTGGACTAAACCATACTTTCTCTCTAAATGCTTACACTTAAAGTAGGCAAGGACCAAACTCACCTCACATCATGATAAAATAACTGCATTCATAAATAGAATTATACATCCTGTACATCCTGTGAGTAACTGAATGTCAGGAGGCAGGTGTGTTATTGGTTAAGATTGTAGAGAAAACAACGCCACAAACACAAAGGGGTCTGACACCCTTATCAGTGCAGTTTAGTTGCATGTGTTTACACCGCTAAGTATGGTATGCTACCTCTTTATAACTGAATGATACTTAAAGGAACAGTGTGCAACATTTAGGGGGATTTATTGGCAGATATTGAATATAATATTCATAACTACGTTTTAATCAGTGTATAATCACCCGAAACTAAGAATCGTTATGTTTTCCTTAGCCTAGAAAAAGGCATTTATATCTACCTGGGGGAGCAGGTCCTCTTCCACGTAGTCGGCCATCTTGCACCACCATGTTTCTACAGCAGCCCAGAAAGGACACTGGCTCTGGCGAGTGCCGTTAGCGTTTTTAGTACCTATGTGTTTTTACGTTATCTGAAGGTAGGGATGCGTTCTGAAATTACTGAAGATCGTAGTATTGATGTGCCCCGACATTACCGGTGTTTTTTATTAGTACTTTTTAATGTGTTGATGTAATATATGTTCACGCTGAAGCTCGCATCTGCTGTTCTCTCTCTGTCGGGCTGAGCTCCTCCAACTACACACACACACACACATAGACACAAACACACACTCACAAAGCACAAGCAGAGAGGCAGCTGTGGTGAAGTGAAGTAGGTAAAGTGAAGGATACTCAAGTTGAGGGCAACTACTACTTGTTACTGTATGTGCAATAAAATATTTGCGAGTAAAAAGTGAATACTTTATCAATACATCAACAACAACCACGGACATGTAAACAAAAGTGAAACCTATTTCAATCACCACTATGTTCACACGAGCACAGCACGCACGGTCGGCCAAAAGGTTTTTTCTTTTGTAAACTTCTCTGCTGGCTGAGACAAAGCAGCCAGGTGGATGGAAGACAGGAGGAATGACTGATACTGACTGATGTCCATGTTCTACTTTCTTTATAAACTTTACGATACCTATCCTGACCTGTGGACCACTGTAGTTCTCCAACATGCTTAGGAAGGAAGGGGTGAGCTGAGGGCTATTTAGTTGGTTGCAACCTGCCACAAACCACTAGATAAAACTTACACACTGTTCCTTTAATAACACACTCAAGCATTTTATTGTAAAGTTTATTGGTTATTTGTGCCATAGCTGCTGGCAGCGCAGGTTGAACCAGGGCAGGACTTCCTGAAAGAGATATAAACCAGAGGAACCGGATTCACTCTGTGGGCTGAGAGGTCATCCCACTGACCAACTGTAAGGCCGTGTACCAGCCAGCTGTCTCCAAGCAGACACCACCTCCAGCACTGCGGGGTACTTTAGTTTGTGCATGGACATTGTGCATTGTTTCTACTACAGAATACAGAGGAGGGCTGCAGAAAACATATTGTTGGCTGTATTTTGAGAGAGCTCTCACAGTTCCTTATGTAAATCTGAAACCATTACAGCATATTATGAGAGTTTGTGTATGTGAGAGAGCGATCTGCATGTAGCATTAGTTGCATCACGTTTGATGGCGGCCTGCACTGCAAAACAGCCTTATTAAGCACCAGTTTGATTTCTGGGGCATGTAGAAATGGAGGCAGCTAATGATATTTCCTGCTTCATTAGGTCATGGAGGAGTCGGAGGTTTGTTCCCTGCCTGGGGGACTTGCCAGTGTGAGGAAACAATTTGAGACCCAGGAAACTGCAACATCCCACAATATAACCCAGTTCCATTTTCATCACAGAACTGTGCAGGTATGCAGAGCACAGTATATTCATTCATGAGGCTAAGAGCATGAAAGAGATGACTGTGGTTAAATTATGGTCAAGTTTCTTCTGACCTGAGCCTGTTTCCATCATTTAGCTTTGGAATTGTGTGACTGCAATGGAGAGCTTTGCAAGTAAAATACGAAATTTAGGCTGAATATTATAACACTGAGGCTCTTATTAAATTTTGTACCAATACTAAAGTGTGTGGGTTTAAGTCACAGACATTACTTGACATTTCTAACAGCTTCCAGGAAAACCTTCAGGGTGCTTTAAATAATCCATTCAGTAGAGAGAAACTTCACAATGAAGTGGAAAAGAATGGTATTTTTTATTTTGCTATGGTACAGTGTGAGTGAACAGCTTGATCACAGATCGTCATGCCTCCATCTGTGATTAGTCATTTTAAACTGCTGTGAGCAATCTGGTCTAGCATCTTCTCTACATGGTGTTCAGTTGTGTAATATTAAGCTTTGGCTGGTGAAGTAAATTGGAGTGGACTGAACTCACATCTGTGGCGGCAGGGGCACTGTGGTGAAGCGAGACTGAGAGATGTATGTATCTGTGTGTTTGTGTAGCATGCACACATTTTTCACTATGTTTGACAATCACTGTCTTCATCTTCACAGGAAATGTCCAACTCTGAAGTAACAGTGTCAAGCAGCAGCAGGCATGTCGTCCCAGGCAGTCAGCAGCAAGATGTCAACCAAGAAGAGATGGTATTTAACTTTGTCTGTCACTGTTTCTGCAGGCAGAACGAGAAGGCTTTGCTAATGAGAAACACTTTGAGTGCCTTGTTGGTTAAAACTTTGAGTAATTGCAATCAATCACATTTGTGTAATTGATGTTTTTGGGAAGTCTCTGAGAGCTTGGGCAGAGATGAAACAAAAAAAGCATGACATTTAAAGGAAAATGTGTAGTATTCATAAGTAAATGGTGAATTTCTGTATTTCCTTTTTTATCATCAATATCTTTTTTTTTCATTTTTTATTATTTAGGTGTCTTACAGTGACAGTAACTTTGCATCCAGTTTTGAAAACCATCAAAATGAAACAGGTAGGATGTCGTTTGGATATTTTTATTCTCTGCCATATACGCTGTCACATGCCTGACTAATTTAAGGCCTGCCTTTGTACTTGTTTCTGTGCTGACTTTTAGAAGAGGAGTTTCCCAGGTACACTACAAAAGAACTGAGGGATCTCTTTGAAAAATCAATAGAAGAGGCTGCTCCACACAAACCAATTAAAGTAAGTATTTCCATTTCACTTGAGCTAAGCAGTATATACTAAGATATGAAAAGACATAATGTTTAAGTGAACAGGAGTGGGCCTTGTATAAATTAGATACCATTATATAACATACATGCATAATTTCCTGTGAATCCCTCGTGTTTGAGTGTAATTTGAATCTAGCGCAGGAATGGCGGACTCCAACAATGAAATTTCTAAATAGAGAGGTAATAATAGAATGTAAATTTACCAAATTGCTACTGCTTAAAATATGCAATCCATGAATAGTATTAATGGGATTTGACTTCATGAGAATCTTAAGGATTATAACTTTAACTCATAGATTTATAGATAGATTAGATAAAAGCATTATAAGAAAGCAATTTATTCAGGTCAAGTAATCTTGGATTGACAGGTGTTCTGCTATGTGAGATCATTCATGTTTTATGATCAAATTTTTACAATGTATCAGTAAGTGTTGCAAATGTAGCAATTAGCAAATGTAAAATACATATAACTGTTATGGGTAATGTTATGGATTTATAGTTATTCCCCCGTAATTATTATTTTTGTTCCTTAAAAAGATTGGACGTGATATCAATCGAGCTAAGTGGTCCTCAAATGTGACACAAAACAACACTGTGACTAGTAATGTCTATGAAACATCCGCTAATGAGGCAGCAGAAGACACATTGGCTGAAGTGATGGATTATGCGGACTTTCCGCCCCCACCAGCTGAGGATTGTGACTATCTTCCACCCCCGCCTCCAGAATTACTCGAAATGCCATCAGACAGTGAAGATATTCCGGCATGCTATTACTCACCCGAGCCTCCAGAACCGACAAACCTCTCCAAATACCCACTCAACAAAGAAGCTTACTGCAAGCAGAGGAGTATGTATGAGCTGAAACGTCTTTACAAGCACATTCATCCTGAGGTTCGTAAGAATATAGAAAAGGAATACTACAGTGATTACACTGAAACTGAGAACAACCAGTTAGAGAACCAGGAGTACATGTATGAGGATGATGGGGGCAGTCCCGATGATATCGACGATGAAGAATACATGGAATGGGAGGAGATTCTCCCCGGGGAGGTGCAGGCAATGCGATGGATGTTTGAAAATAAACCACTGGACACCATTAAGGATGAAACTCCTGACGAGGATGACGAAAACAACAAAATAAGTGAACAGGAAATGATACTTGGAAAAGATGTGAGACGTACAGCTTGGATGTTTGAGACCAAGCCAATGGATGAGCTGAGTTCACACAATATCAACTCAACAGAATACAAAAACAAATTCAACAAATTTGATAAAGGAGATGTCCGTGCTGCAGCGTGGCTGTTTGAAACCCAGACAATGGACACTCTAAATAAAATGCATAAGGAGGAGGATTTAACAAAAGAGATTGTGTTTACAGAGGAGGATGGTAATGCTACTATTTGTATGATTGACAATAGGTACATGGAAAGCCTTGGCCATACTGAGACCATGGACGAGAGCCACCTTTTGAGACTGAGGTCAGTGTTAGAGGAAATTCATGGAGAAGTGAAAACTGTTACGAGTACTTTTGACACTCAGTTTAAATGCATCATCATGGGACAATCGAGCCAAATGCTGGAGATTAAGTCCGTGCGAAAAATTGAAAGTGAATTGGAGAACTCCATTGCTTCACGTTGGCTTTTCGATACCCAACCCCTGGACATGACAAACAAAGAATCTACATCTTTGAAACTTGTTTGTAGTCTTTCCATGGAGGACAGCAATAAGGGAGACTGGGGCAGGTGGTTGTTTGAGATAAAGACCTTAGATTCTCTTAATGAGTGGGAAAGCTCAAAAATGGAGAAGAACGACGTTACTGGAGCTGATGTGCGCAAGCACTGCTTAGTGTTTGAAACCCAGCCAATGGATTCTCTGAAGGATGACTCCAATGCGAGACCCCAGTCTATTGAAGAAATTATCGGGGGCAATGTTAGATCTGCGAGGCACTTTTTTGAAAGCAGCCCTCGAGCAGAGAGGAAAACTGACCCTGAGGTTGGAAAACTTCAAAAGGCAACAGTAAATGAAGAAATGAAAGGAGATGTGAGACACCAAAAATGGCGCTTTGAGAGTCAAAATCTAGAGCACATAAGGGAGGAGAAGAAAGAGATTACTCGCACTGTGAATGTTGAGGACGACCTCACACAAGAGGATGGCACAAGCTGCGGGGCAGATGTTCGCAAGAACTGCTGGGTATTTGAGACCAAGCCAATGGACACTTTAAACGATGATTCAAATACTCAGCTACTGACAAAAGAGGACATTATTGCAGGTGATGTGAGATCAGCCAGAAATTATTTTGAAACAGCTCCAGCTGAGGAGTTGAAGGACCTTGCAGAGGTGGGCAAACTGAAAAAAGCTGTGGCTCTTAATGAGGAGAAGGGTGATGTCAGACATCAGAAATGGCGATTTGAAAGCCAACCTCTGGAGCAGATCAGACAAGAAAAGAAAGAAGTCATCCGAACGATTGACCTGGAAGAAATTGATAGAGTTGACGTCTTAAACTACAAACAAATCTTTGAGAGCACAGATTTAAACTGGAGGGATGAATCTCAAAAGATTCTCATAGAGGGTGTAACATCCGGTTCTGTAAAAGCAAATACAAACCTGTTTGAGTCTACCTCCCTGTATGCCATGCAAGACAGCTCAGGGCACTTTCATGAGGTGAAAACAGTGCGGCGGGAAGAGGTTGTGAAAGGAGATGTAACAACGTGCAAGTGGATGTTTGAAACCCGACCAATCGACCAGTTTGATGAAAGCATTGATAAATACCAAATTATCAAGGGCATATCGAAACAAGAAATAGAGTCTGGTGATGTGAAAACCGCAAAGTGGTTGTTTGAAACACAGCCTCTAGATGCTATTAAGTACTTCAGCAATATTGAAGATGAAGAGGTTATGGGGACAAAAAGAAATCTTGACCACATGAAGGGTGACGTGAAAACCTGCAAGTGGCTGTTTGAGACAAAACCAATGGACGTCCTGTATGAAAGATCGGAGTTAAAGGGTGAAAATGAATCTGAAGAAATGCAAAAGGGGGATGTCAAAACCTGCACATGGCTTTTTGAGACACAAGCACTCGATACTATCCACGATGAGACAGAGACTATTCTGAAAACGTGCACTGTCAATCAAGAGGACATTAAAGGAAAGGATGTGAGAACGGCTTGTTTTCTCTTTGAGACAGAGAAATTGGAGAACCTTTCTGAGGAGGAGACAGGCTCTTTCAAGCGCGTCACTGAGATAGACATTGCGTCTGGAGACGTGTCCGGGATGAAGTATATTTTTGAAAACCAAACATCCGATATCATGACTTCTACATCTGAGGAAGTAATGCAAAAGCTCAAGACAGTTCAGACTGAGGACATACAAAAAGGAAACGTAGTGAACTGCAAATGGCTCTTTGAAAACCAATCGATAGATACAATACACGATAGCCAAGAGGAATTCATGAGCAGCCGCACAGTGAATGATGTACAAGGAGGAGATGTAGATAAGGGCCGTTTCATTTTTGAGACTTACTCCTTAGATGAAATTCAGGAGACGGACAAAGAGCTGATGAAAATGCGAAAAATTGTCCGCGATGAAGATGAAAGGGGCAATGTGAGAAATTACACCATGATGTTTGAAAATCAGCCCCTTTACGCCATTCAGGACAAAGAGGGACTTTACCACGAGGTCACCACTGTCACAAGCAAAGAAGTAACACGAGGAGATGTTGTCGGAACCCGGTGGAAGTTTGAAACCAAGCCCCTTGACGCTATCAAGGACACTGATGACGTTTATATAATTAAATCTGTCACACAAGAGGATGTGCAAAAAGGCGATGTCAGCTCTGCCAAGTGGAAATTTGAGACACAACCACTCGACAGGATTGCTGAAGAAACGAAGACTCTCATAAAAACGGTGAATGATATTCAGGGAGGCAATGTTAGGATAAACAAAGATCGTTTTGAGTCTGACGCACTGTCGCAGGAATCTGTTAGAACGGTTAATGTGAGTGAAATACAAAAAGGTGATGTCAGGTCAGCGAAATGGAGATTTGAAACCCAGTCCATTGACAAAATAAGAAGCATGAGCTCTGAAAATCTGATTGAAACGGTTAAAAAAGAGGAGGTTGAAAAGGGAGATGTTAAACATTCAGTCTGGCTCTTTGAGGAAAACCCCCTTGATCACATTAAAGAGGTAGATGAGGACGAAGGTACAACCATCACATCACTCGATCCGATTTCCAATGCGGATGTAAAGTCAACAACGTGGTTATTTGAAACAACACCATTTGATGACTTTAACGAGACAAAAATGGAGAAGACTAAAATCCTGGGCAAGAGTGTCAAAGGAACTCTCGAAGAACTTTATAGTCAGAAAATGGTGAGGTCGAAGGGAATTCTCATTGAAGCTGATGAAGTCGGCGACGTTAGGATGGCAAAATACCAGCTAATGAATAAGCAGGCTCCGGAAATTCAACGAGAGGATGTCATCAGGGGAGATCTGCAGACTATTATGATGAACCTGCTGAACAGACAGGAAAGACAGGAGCAGCAGATAGTTATAGATTCAGAAGAGAAGGGTGACATCAGTTCTACGGTGCATCAACTATTCAACCAACAGAGTGACAGCAGTATTGAAAGAGAGGAAATACTACGAGGTGACATTCAGGAAGCTATAAACAACCTTTTTGATGAGAGCGGTTCAGCAAAACATGGAATACTCATCCAGGAGGATGAAAAAGGAGACGTGCAGATGACATTATATTCCCTTCTCAATAAACAAGAGAATGTTAATGTTGAAAAAGAGGACATTGTAAGAGGGGATATAAAGAGTGCACTTCAAAGACTGTCCAGGTCAGACAAGAAAGATCAGGCAGTAAAGATAAGGATAGACGAGACTGAAAAAGGAAATGTCAACTTTTACTCCACATGCATCGAATCTGGGGCTCTTGACTATCTTAAACAGCTTCACGTAGGATCTGATGAGACTCTGCCTGACAGAGTAGAAAAAGAGAAGATCCTTGGAGGCGACATCAAGGGCACTAAACTCATCCTCGGCCGTAATTCAACGCAAATTGATCGTACAGTGGAGGATGTTATACCTGGTGATGTTCAAAACACAGTAAAAGTTTTCATGTCAGAGCCAATGCTCTCATTGGAAAGACTCCAAACGGAGGAGATAGTCAAAGGCAATTTAAAAGCTGCTTTAAATCTATTGTCTGAATCAGCAAATCAAACGGTTGTTGTAGAGAAAGAGGAGGTGGTGAAAGGCAACATACCGAAAACCCTGCAGTGCCTGGAGAAGGCTCAAAAACGATACAAAGAGGTGGAGAAGCCAGATATCATATGTGGAAATATAAAAGGGGCTCTGAGATCTCTTGAAAAATCTTCAACTTCTCGAGTTGAAGCTGTTCTCGAGGATTTAGTTCTTGGAGATGTGAGGGCCACACTGAAATCTCTGGAGCTGGCAAAGCAAGCGGTAAAGGAAGTCGAAAAGGAGGAAATTGTGAGGGGCGATATTCGCACAGCAATGCAAAGTCTGCACGATGCCTCCAGTGAGAGGAAGACGTGTCAACAGGAAATAGATGTTCAGGGCAACGTCAGAGAAACAATTCAGCTCTTAATGGAGCTTCCGCCTTCACCAAGGATGGAAAGGAGCCCAAGCCTCGAGCGTGACGTAAAGGGTGATGTGAAGATGTCAATTAAGTCATTGTATCAGATGCAGGAGCAATCCCAGCTGGAGAAAGAAGAAGTGATAAAGGGTAATGTTAAAGGCACAATTAAATCGCTGTTGGAAACAGCACAGCGTGAATCTCCCAAAGTCAGACTTGGATCATACAGAAGAGTTCGAGTCAAGCAGAGCCCCCCGGTAAACAACTTAAATGATGATGCAAAAAGGAACATACAAAAGATAAAAACTGCTAATTCAGTTGAGACATCAAAAGAAAAGCACTCCATCTCTAATGACACTGAAATTGTTAGAACAATGTCAAGTTCTGTGGAGCAGTCTTCTCAGCAATCACAAACTGTGGTGGAGCATAAAACGATTATCCAAAATCACGGCATCAAAACATTAAAGACAGACTTTCGTAATCTAAAGTCGAAGGGAAAGGGAATGAAAAAAGTAGATAAAACCAAAGTAAGAACTGATGATTACATCCTAAACCCACATGCGCCAGAGCCTGATCTGCCTCTCCCACCTCCACCAGAGACAGACGCTGACCTTCCTCCTCCTCCTCCCAGTGTTGATTCTGACATTGATTATCTTCCTCCTCCACCACCACCACCACTAACCAGTGAGCAGGACTTTCTCCCACCTCCTCCCTCTCAACAGGAACTGGAGAGCATGCCAGCACAGGCAATTCATCCCTCACCAGCAAAAGCAACAAAGATGACAGTCAAAAAAGTGAAAGCTCCGGTCATATACCCGGTCCCAAAGCTGGAGCCTAAAGTGGAATTCAGTAAAACACAGCAGGTGGAGCTCACATCCGGGAAAGTGGTAGAAATCAGCCAATCTCAATCAAAAACAACAACACATAGATCAAAAACTCCACTGCCTGAGTCACCAAAACCGCTAAAGAAAGTTTACATCGCTCCTGTCAAATTCACCCCTCCACCCTCTCCTCCGCCTTCCATGAGAGGGAAAATGACTAAATTTACCACTCCATTAATAAAAGCAGAAGAAAAGTACCGGAAGCTGGTGGAGGACAACACCCCCCCAACCACTCCAACACCCACATACATACATGACTCAGTTACCGCTGCTCTTGAAATGCTCTCCACCGTCGATACAGGGCAGTCAAATAACAATGCATCAGAAATCACAAAGGGGAGAGCCGAGAAGAAGGCATTGAGTGTCCATTCAGACTCCCTATCATCTGATTTATCCAAGCATGTCGTAGTTTTAAATACCACCCACAGCAATGTCAGCGCTAGCCATGAGAAAATCTGCACTGATTCAACATTTATATCTTCTGCCAAACAGGAAATTGTCTCTAATGAGACATCGAAGGTTATCTCTATTCAAAAGACCTCGTCAGTATCAGCTGTTAAACAACAGATGCATACGACTACACAGAACTCTATTTATGTTTCCTCCGAGCAGTCTGCTCAGTCTGTCATGGCTGACAAGGTCCAGACCTCGCTGACTGATGTCGCAAAAACTGAAAACATGTTGGCTGAAAGAAAGGATTCTAAAAATCTGAAAACAAAGCGCTCCAACAAGCCCTATGATAAAAACGAAGATGAAATGTATTCTAATAAAAGCCATACAGAAAAGAATGAAAGCAAATCACAATCTGAGAAAAAAGACAAAAATGTAAAAGAGTCCAGATCACCACCGCGTGATAACAAGGAGAAAACTGATCATTCTCCTACCAAGAGCCAGGAGAAAGTTTTGGATCAACCAATGCAAACAGAAAAGGCAGCTGCCAATACAAATGGAAAAGCAGGTAAATCTAATCAAAAGGGGAAAAAGAACCATAAGCAAGAAAAACAAGTAGAGACAAAAAGGTCCAGTGAGAGTGAGAAACAGAGTGTTTCACAAGACGTCAAGGTGAATGTGAAGGAAGCTGCTGAGGTGAAAGTGATCAGTGAACCTAAAGAAGTAAAGACAGAGTTAAAACAGGGGGTTAAGAATGTTACTTCCTCTCCTGCTGCCGCCCCTAAGCCTGCTGTTACGGATAGCATAACTGACAGCCAACCGGAAACTCCAACTCCCGCAAAAAAGAAAAAGAAGTCCAAAAAGTCTAAAGGGGGTACACAGGCAGCTCAAGGTAAAGAGATTTCCACAGAATCAAAGACAGACATCATATACACCAATACAACAACGTCTGAAAAATCACACCAAACTCATGAAACAATTGCAATTTCCCAAATTAAAAAAAGTATAAATGAAGAGGAGATTCAAGTGGACAGAGAAGTCATTACCACAGAATGCAAAGATGATCAAAATTTACAACAACAAAAAAGAGTTCAAAAGCAACTGAAGGGATCTCAAAAGAAGAAAGAAGTGACAGCTATTCAGCAGAGCGAAGAGAATCCTCCAGAAGAAAGTCGTGATGTCCCAATTACAGTGACAGGCAAGTCGGAGCAAAATGAACGGGTAAAGTCCACAGCAGGGAAAACAGAAGAATCTCAGAGGCGAGAGGCCCAAGTGTTAATCTCTCACATCACAGAGATACAAAGAGTTTCAGAGAAGACTGATTCTAAATATGTGAAGACTCTAGTCAACACAGTTCCAGATTGGCTGATAAGTCCCGAAAGAAAGTGCGAACTGGAGGAATCTGTGTTGGAAAGCGATGCTCAAAAAAGTGAAGAAATTCTTTCTCGTGTGAGGAAACTAGCAGACGCTAAACTAATGCATCTAGAAGATAATGAAACAACGGAGAAGCATGAATGTGAGCCAATATCGGAGAAATCTGTTTCTGCTGGGGCAACGCCAAGAATATCCAAGATCAGTATTGGTTCTGCCAAAATTGAGAACCAAACAAAGAAGAAGACCTCCCATGAAAGGCGGAAAGAAGAAGTCAGTCAGTGCAAGTCTGTCGACCTCCGGGCTCCCTCTCCGTTGTTGAGGATGCGATCGCCCTCGCCAACGTTTATCACCATTGAATCCACACGAAGAACTGACTCACCCTACAGAGTTACGCCATCACCCACCCTGCTGCATAGGCCACACACACCTCCCACACCACCCCCACGCAGGTGTGACACCCCAACATCATGGCTCACTAGAATCACACCCTCTCCGACTTTTGACAGAGCAGAAAATTTGGCTCGACTTAAAGACACAACAGCCAAACTCTCGCGTGGCGTCACCCCACCACCGCTACTCCCTCAACAAATCTCAGAGAGGAAATCTGAGATTGTGGAATCACCTGCGTCTTTCCATCGGCAAATCAAAATTGATTCCCAACTTGTGGAGGCTTCAGAGACTATTGCAACAGAAAAGCTAAAAGAGAGTTTATCTAGGGAGGCTCAGTGGGCTGATGTAAATTCTGCACATGTAGAAGAAGATCAAGCTAATATTTCGGACGGTTTGAATGCAAGTGGAATACAAAGTAAGTCCCACATGTCATTTTGTCAAAATGACCCAGATCTTATTGATGCTTTAGATATTCCAGAGCCATTATCTCTATCCGTCAAAGAAAAGAGAGAGTTTTTTGAAGAAGCACAAAAGGCTGAAATTCATAAGACTTATGTGCGAAAGGAGCCCATTGCTATCCCTGAACGACTGGGTCCAGACACGGAGGACTTAAAGGCAGAAAATGAGAACAAAGAAGACGAAGAGCTTCCCAGGGCGGACCTGTATGGTCTTGTAAACAAATTTGAATCACCAGAAGAGAAATTCTTTATCAGAAAAGAGCTTATCCCACTCACAGAGTGGCTTCACACTGACACTGAAAACATAGATTTTGACAAAGAGAAAGCAAACATCCTGGAACAAGAAATGCCAGCTTTTGACATCCAGGCTATTAAAAATGTTTTTGAACTGGGTGAGCAAAGTTTCTCATTCAGAGAGGAGAAAGAGGATCAGGAGGAGACTGTGTCAAGCCTGAGTGAAACAACAGCAGACACTTCAAAGCAGGAAAGTCCTCAAGAGACACAGAAAGGCTCATGGCGGAGCACCCCCCTCCCTCCTCAGAAAACTGAGGCAGAAATTGTGCCAGCAGAACCATCAGCCTTTTCTGAAACCAAATCAATCACAGAACATTTCTCAGATGTTGATGACTTTGGTAACAACGTCACCGGAATAAGGACAGCTGCCTCTGAGCACTCTGAGAGTGTGTCAACCCAACGGGCTCCTTTTTCCTACGCTGATGCGGTTAAAAAAAAGGCCGCATCAGCAAAGCAAATGGAAACCATCGATGACGATGCTACTGACAAGTTGCTGAGTAATTTCCACAAAACATGGACAGAGAGTGAATCCGTTTTCAAGAGTCTTGGCTACACCATTTCTGAGGAGACAACATCACAAGTTGTGTCACATCAGACGAAGATCGTCTCATCTGGTAAAGACCTATACGGCATGAAGCAACGTAAACTAATGGCATGGACTATGGATGGATGGGATTTGTTTGAATCAATTAAGTTTGTGGTGTGTTACAAAAGCGGTATTTCTAATCACTGCATTGGATGAATTGCGAAGGCTTTCTATAGAACAAAAAGTGTTTGTAATAGCCAACGACTCTAAGAAGCTACAGCCATGCTGGCAGTTCTGTGAGGCTTAACTTAGGGACAGCAGTGTTTTGGGCCAAATTAGCATGCTAGCATGCTCACAATGGCAATGGTTACAGGCTAATGCAGGTAATTATTCTTAGTTTAGGGTGTTCGCATGCTTACATGTACTAATTGGAACTAACCACAAAGTACAGCTGAGGCTGATGGGGATGTCATGACAATCGTGCTAGAGGAAAAGTGGAGGGACAAGATTATAATTCATCCTCTGGGGACCATGAATGTCTGTACCAAATTTCATGTTGGTCCTTCCAATAGCAGTCCTCTGAACACAGTTTCAATAACACATAACAAAATCATCCTTGACAGAAGGTACATCCGTTTTCTGGAGCTTTTAAAGGCATCTCATTATCAGTGGAGTTGTTTAAGGATGGTATTTACACTGCCTCTGACATCCGACAGCAACAACGAACCTTGTACAGAAACGATCTTCCTCCCTGTATGACCACCTATCATGTGATGGCAACTCAACCAACTCTATTCACTAATAGACCATGACATTCAATTGAAAGATCTGGGGGAAAAAACAAGCACACCTTTAATCTAATGAATGTGTTGAACTTTTTCTGCAGTGCATATAATAAGGATGATGTCAATTTTAAATATAATTGGCCTAATAGGTCATAAATAGAACTGCAGCCTTTTCAAGAGGCTGTCCATTAGCCGACCAGAATATAGCCAGCATACAGTGTAATGTTACAGTACACGCTGGCTGAGGGCTTGCACTCAACCGGATGACAGCTTATTTTTTGTGTTCACAAAGTGCAGTTGAGAGATGCATGGAAATCTGTCCATGCATGTAAGTAGGTAGATGAGTGAATACAATAAAATCCTGACTGATACACTGAACCATTCACTCTCATGGCCATTATGAATGTTTTATTTAAGCAACTGAATTAACCGTATGAGGTACGCATTTAAATGCATATGTCATCTATTTGTTTGCTTTGTACTAACAAGATTAACCATAATAGAATAATTAAAGAAAAGCTGTTGTTGCATTGTGAGCAAAAAGGAAATGCTCTTCACATGGGATGAACGGGGGAGGAAAAAATCCAATAATTTGTATTCTATCTCCTTCAAACAGGTTCGAGTTCCAAAGTCAGAGCTCTGCACAGTATGTCGGAGGAGAGCTTATCCGATGGATGCTCTGATAGTGGACAAAAAGAAGTACCATAAATCCTGTTTCTGCTGTGAGCACTGTGGAAATAAATTAAGGTAAATATTACATTCATTCAAATCAATGGTCACCATTGGCACAATTAATCACTGCAATATTCATTTGTAAATGCCTTGGTGTTTTAATGGCAGTATCATTTATTATTATTATTATTATTAATTTGTTATTCTAAAAGAAAAAATGTTCTTTCCTCTTGTAGCTTAGGAAATTACGTCTCTCTCCATGGACACTTCTACTGTCTACATCATTACAAACAACTCCTCAAATCCAAAGGGAACTATGATAATGGACTTGGGCAGAATCCTCCCGCAGGAAGTGGTGGACCTATCCCCTCAGATGAGAAACTTGAATGGAGATATTCCATGAGCAGCCTAAGTTCAGTAGACAAAACACACAGCGGTGAAAACAATCTGACAAAAATGTGCGATGAAAGCAAACGACAGAGCAACAAAATATCTGTAGTTTGGCCCCCACAGGTGGATCTCCTGAAGGAAGCCTTTAAAATAGAAGATGACATTCAGCTAACTAAACCACAGTGGCCCCCTCCTGACAACACTCCCAAGTCACCCAAACAACAGCACAGAAAGGCTGTTCCTAAAAGTGTCGTTTGAAATGTAATCACCACCCATCAACTAGACAGATAAGTTAAAGAAACCCAAAGAAGAAGCACAAAAGAACGAATGGTTAAATAAGATGCTACGAAAGGACTGTCCAATTGGTGCAATTAAGGATGTGTATGTTTGAAGGTCATGCAGTCAAGGGATTTTATAAAGGAACATGAAAAGTGAGGACATGAAAGGAAACCGTGTATACTTGTAAATGGAGCGTGAATGTAAAAAAAGAATGTAACTGGAATAGTAAGTACGATAGAGATAGACGTGGAAAAAGTGTGGAAAGTGGATGTAGACATGGAGCAGTGTGCCTTGAAACGACAGGCTTATCTAACGTGTAATTTTTCATTCGTTGTATTTCATCTTTATTTTTCCTGACTTTCAGCATTCACACTAATGTAACAGTTAGTATTTGACACAACAAGATCTAATTTAACCGCTATAACAATGTATTTGTTTCGACAAGTTAAACACATTATGGCTAAAAACGGCATCACGACAAGTTTAAGATCTGAGTCTAATAAAATGATGTTGGTTTCAATCTACATTTCTGGGTGACAATAAGTCAGTTTAGTCACTTTTTAATCAACTGAATATGTAAACTGTATTCCCACTGCACCTAAAAGGAGCACAGTAAAGAATCCCATATAATTCAGCCCTGTTTCTTTTTCATCCCCTTTGTTTTATTCTAAAATGAATTGGTTTATTGTATAATTCACTCCATTATTTTGCTACTGTATGCTGGTTAATGGAAATAGTTTCAGTCGGTGGACTCTGTTGTATTATTCTGTCCGGTCTTTTATCTTTCAACATATCAACATTTTTGCATTTGCCTCTTTTTTTAGCACCTGGTGTGCAGACTACTAAAAGAATCTTGGAATTATTTTATTTATAACATTGAAAGTATATAATGTAAACAAGTGAATTGGTGATAATCATGTTTGTTTTGGACATTTGTATCCTATTTTGAACAACAAATATTTTGCAATGAAGAATTTTATTTTTTAGATTAGTTAAACCTTGCTTTGTACAAGAAAATTCCTGATTCCATCGTGCTGTCAGGCTGGTTCACTTACTTAATTGCTGATCTAAGGGCGATAAAATATTGAATTTAATTGTTTCATTTGTCTCTTTGAAAGTCTGTTACTCTGTCATCAAAGATGAAGTAGTGTCACAGAGCTTGTCAGGTGCATGTCTGGTTGAAGCAAGAAGACAGGAGCAGGTCAGCAGATCCCTTTCACACCGTTAGTATAATCTTCTTTAGAAGCTGTCCCCACCCTGGAGGGGATTTCCGAGCTCGAACCACAGGTGTTCTTACAGCAGACTAGGAAACCTTTTCCAAGTGGGGAAAGTTTTGAAATTGAGCATTAAAAAAAGGCGGATGAGGAACAGCTTGAACACGTGTGATGCAGCGGCAGAGGATACAGTGTATGCGCTTATTGAATTTTACAGTCAGTTCTAAAATAAGCTTATGGCCAAATGTGGTTATACTCATCCTCTTACTGCTCCTCAATGTAAACAAGCTTAGCATATAGTTTGCTGACTTGCACCTATAGCTGTAAGACTATTAATATATATTTTAATTTATATTATACGGTTAGTGTGTTAACATGTGAAGAAGTATATTAAAAGAGAATTGAGGGTCTGAATAAGCTGATATTTTAAATGGGGACAGATAAGGTTATTGTGCGGTCTAGAGTTTGCCTATGACATAAGTGCAAATTAAATTTAGCATACTGACTATTGCACAGTCCACCTACACACTGGGCCAATATACTGTATGCTTTCCCATTTTAATAATTTTAGAATTGTATTTTTCCTATCTTTCTAATTCCTTTTTTAAAAGTATTTATTATTATTATTAGAAATAGCCTTTAAGCACAGTCTTAAGAATATACCACCCAGTATGGAGATATGCACACACGCTTTATGAAGCCCCAATTATTAGAACACACTGTAATATATATGATGAGAACAGACTTGTTTGGCTCATTCCACTATTCTGTGTGTGCATGATTTCCCAGCTGGACAGGACGGGAGCTAAACGTGTGAAACAGTTTGACGGTAAATTCTCTCACAGCGTCAATCTACCTTGCTGCCACTGTTTTACGGGCAGCCCTCACTTTCTCCCTTTGAGCGGATTGGTAAGGGATCTCTCGGATTACACTCTGATTGGTCGGCTCTGGCTCGTCAGGCGATACGTCAGCCCGGTTGCACTAACCATCACGCTTCC